GGGCAGCAAGCTAAAGTGTATTTTTAAATGTCTTATAAATAGCACACTAAAATGAGTATTACTAGCATGTTGTGTTGATAACGCGTGTAATGCATATGAGATATTAAGAGTTTTGTTCTAAAGGTGCGTTCTGTAGTCATCTGTAAACAAACTGCAGCGGATCCACTTGAGAGTTCGGTTTTAATCCGCCGTCGTCTTTTTCTCGCACACATGAGCAGCTGCTAAATATCACAACAATATTTTCTTCATCTCGCTCGCCCTCCCCCCGCTCCCTGATTGTGCTCCATGCGGAGTTATAATTCATAACGATATTCTAATCTTATTGGATTGTTTGCATGGGTAAATATTTATCAGCAGTTGATCTAACGCTATGTAATGATCCGTTGATGGAGTCATTTATTATTCAATCAGACAGAGGGAGTAGCGTGATTAGCCGCGTGTCACAGCTCCGCTTGTCTGCTCGCACACAGAGGCGGGCGGGGCCTCATTTGCATAAAAATAGATGGGTGTCCCTAAAGTGAGCCGCTATTTGCTCTCCAGATGCAGAGATTGATCTAATGAAGAGTTTATTGAGACGGAAATAAGCCATGGATCCCGTGTTAACAGAGTAAACATGACTGTCGAGCTGGTATTCCTCTGCTATCTCTGGTTTTCGCGTTGGGTTTTGCTTTCCTGGGTCAAACTATCTATATGCAAAATAGCAGCATTAACCTGCAATCCCGATGTGCTTGTTTTATATTTGTTCAGTGTTTACAGGAATAGTTCTCCAATAAATTGAAGATTCTGTCCATGTTTATTCATGCACATGTTGTTTTAAATCCATACGATGGTCTGGCTTTTATGGAAAACGAGTAGCTCTTTTCCACATAATGCAGCTTTTCACATTTAAAATTGGATTAGATATACATGAAAAGTCATCTATACCAGGCCCGGATTGGCTAATCTGAGAATGGAGAATTCCCGGTGGGTCGGTCTGTTTTTTGGCCGCTAGCTGCTTGCACTCTAAACAGTCACACTTTTTTCCTTTATTTATTTATTTATTTATTTATTTATTTATTCAACCATAGCCTCACTCTTTTTATGTATTATTTTGCCGCAGCTCCGCTCTTTTTATTTATTTTCTCGCAGCCCATGCATGAGCCAAACGCAGCCTGCAGGTTAATAATGACAGCGGCACCTTAGTGAATATAAGAATTTGAATAATTAATATTAAGGAATATTACACCTGCTCAATAAAAATCAGATGATTCATTACATTTATAAATCTGACATAACTTGATCAGAAATCTAAAAAGGGGAAAAAAAAGTTTAAGCCATCAATAGAAGGTAATATTGTTGTTAAAGAGTCTATTTTTTGTTCTGTTTATAACAGTGCCATTGTGGTCCAGTGGTCAGCATGTTGCGTTACAACACCGCCGACCCGAGTTTGAACCTTACCTAAATATTAATAAATAATAATTATATATTTATATAATATATAATAATTTATTATTATTATTATTATTATTATTATTATTATTTATTTATTTTTCATTTTTAATGTTAAGACACATAATACTGTTTGGGTTACTTATGTATGTGTACATATTTTATTTTTTGCGTGACCACCGTTACAAAGGATATTGCAGGAAAGGACATTGCGATGTTTTAAACAATAGTGTTTTAAACAATAGAGATTTAGCTACCATTTAATATTCTCATATTTATGAAAAAAAATTGACGTTCTAAGGCAGCTGTTTCCTTGAAATAGACATGATAGTGTCATTAGAAACTAATTTGGAAATGGCCTTATTTTAATATAGTCAGTCGTGACTGAGGTGGGCCGGTCTTAGGCTTGAAACTCCAGGGCTAAAAAGAAGTCCCACTCTAGCCCAGGTCTATACTATATTTCAAGTCTTCCTAAAGCATAATTCTATTGGTTTATGCATTTAATTCATAGATATATAGCCATAGTTTTTATTGTTGCTTGTATCGTCAGAGATATATGCATTATTTATTTGTGTAAGAAATTAATACTCAGCAAGGATTATCAACTTTCAAAAAAAAAATGCAAATCAGTCAATCTCTAAATTAGGCAGTCGGCTGATCAAACTTGAAACAGCACAAATGTTTGCAACAGTAATAATAATAATTGAATTTTAGTACATTTCTTGATCATAAATCAGTATATAGAATGATTTATGAAGGATCATAAAATAAGATAAATCTGACTGGAATATGAAAACATATGTATGAGTAATATCACATGAGTAGCAGTTCGATGTGACAGTAAATTGGCACTGGCGTGCGTTGGCTCAAGGCTGCAGGCCAAGTGCCTTAGTGTCCCACCAGTGATGATATACAGTCATATCACACTGCTACTAGTGTGATATTGCATTTATACAACAGTTCGACAGCATAATCGTGTGTATAAAAATGAAAATCAAACACTGATTGTTACAGCCGGCTCTTAAGGTGCAAAAAAAACTAAAAAAACAGACGCAACCATCACGGGCAAAGTAACATTTATTTGAATATAACAATAACATTATTAATAATATAAAGTTAAAGAAAAGAGGAGTCTGGACCAAAATGGGACGATCACACCAAATGCTGTTTAGTGCCACGTCCCATATATATATATATATATAATATTACAATTACCTCATTGCATGCATGCATGTTTGTTTCCAATATGCTTCAGCCACTTACATCCCACTTCATCATACTGTATGTAGTTTATATTGATCCGTTATGTATGTATTTGTATTATCCAGGTTATAGAGTTTCTTTTCCCCGTGTCTGATGGACTGCAGTTATCATCCTCCACACTTATGAAAACAGATCCCGCTTCCTGCCTCTAATTCGTTTCACTGCTTCCCCCCCAAGGCTTTGCGATTATGGAAATGGCAGATAATGTGAATTAACCTTGTTTTCAACTGTACTTGTACAATTAGCCAGCGATTAAGCAAAGCAACCTTCTGACCTCTCCATGCGCTCTGCTTTTAACAATCCCTGTACTTGGGATGAGCCTGTTCAGTAGTCAACAAGAGGATCCATCCTTACAGTGTGATGTTTTCTGTCCCTCAGGGCCCAGAATCTGTTCAGACAGGCGATGCGTACTCCGCGAATCCTGTTTCATGTGGTTCCAGCGGGGAAAAAAGCCCAATATGAGGTGCTGTCTCAGAATGAACTGGGCCTTCAGACTGGATCGGTATCCGGAGACAGAGGCAGTCTGGTGGAAGGAGGTATCACTGCTTTTGTTTTGTCAGACAAACTCAATTCTTATGGAAATTTGACTTTGTTAATATACTCAGATGTGCACATAACCTTTTTGGTACACTTTTTATGGCACAGCCATCCTCACAAACTCAAATACAGTGGGTAAAATTAGCATCAAGCATATCTTAAAAACATTTGTAAAGGTGCTGTTGACTTGAAATGTTCACCAGATATCAGGGACGACTAAAATAGTTTAACCACAAATTAATTTAGAAAGTGGGTCTGTAATAAAATGACACAAAAAAAATGTTGAACACATGATGAAGGAGGGAAGGTGGAAAAAGACATGGAAAGACCAGACAGCAGCTGCAGTCTTTCGGTATTATTCAGCACCTACTCCTTATCAGTGGACATGAATTACCAGAATTACATTTTAGCATGACAATGAGCGCAAACACAGCCAAAAAGGTATCACAGCTTTTGCTCTGTCAAATAAACTTAGTTCACACTAAAATTAGATTTTGATAACATTTTCAGATGTGCACATACCCTTTTTGGTACACTTTTTGTGGCATAGCCAACCTGACATACTCAAATACAGCAGGTAAAATAAGTATTGAACATGTCACCTATTTCTCACTTCTAAAGGTGCTGTTGACTTAGAATGTTCACCAGATGTGACAACCAAAATAATCCATGTACAAAGAAAATTACAGTTTGGAAATTGTGTAATAAAATGACACAGGGGAAAAGTACTGAACATATGAAAGAAGGAAGGTGTAAAAAGACATGGAAAGTCAAGACAGCAGCTGAAATATTTCAGTTTTATTTCACACCTGCACCTCGTCAGTGAAAAAATAATGTTAGCTGCTTCAGTTCCAGTACCTACATTACCAAATTAAACTACGTGCACATGTCTGCTAGACAATGAATCCAAACCCAGCTGAGAAAATTCTTGATTGGTTCAAGAAAGCTGGTTCCCAGAACATTATAAATCTTTAACCTCCTATATTAAATTCTGGGAATGTTATGTGTGCAGAAAAAAAAATAGATTTGTTTAGGCTATTAAAAATTAACTCTGGAAATTATATTGTTAACCTTAGTGAAATTTCTTTATTTTTTTGGCTGCAAAAAATACAGTTAATTAAAACCTAAAAAGAACATTCTTATAACATTATTATTTGGTTGTTTGAATGGTTCTATAATTAATAAAACATTCATTTTGATCAAAAGATTAATCGTTTTTAATCGCATCCAAAATAAAAGTTGTCATATTGTGTGTATGTGACACACACTTACATAAAAGCAAAACTAAACAATTAATATAAAGCAATTTTGTTACATTGATATTTTAATTTATATATAATTTGTACCATATGCATATATATTTTATATTTAAACATAAATAAAAATGTTCTGAATTATATGCATCCATGTGTGTATTTATATACACATTAAAAATATACACAACACACACACACACACACACACAAATATATATTATGTCAAAACAAATGTTAATTTTGGATGCGCTTAATCAATAATTTTGTGTTAATAGAACTTACATTGATGAATGCATAAAGCAAATTAAACTGTTAATCTGATGCAACATTTGAAGTTGAGTGTTCTCTGCTTGCCTCAAGCTTTTGGCTTTTCTCAATGTCTCATTCTGATATTTTACAGCCTTTAGTCCGAGAAGAATGTCCAAAGCAGAGTCGACCCGTGGTTATCCGACATTACCAAACACAGCAAACCCTTTAAACCAGACCCAACTGGACCCCATCCAGCCCTCCAGACCCACCAGCACCACCTCATCTGTGGGATACTCCAAGAAGATCGGCCGAAAGTTCAGCGTCCAGCTGCGGAAAGGTGAGATTGGGTTTGATATGAGGAAATGTGTCCATGTCAGATCTGGCTGAGCACCGATGAGTGGAGGCAAATGCAGATGGAGACTTTCAAATCTGAGGAATTTATATAAATGTAGGAAATCATGCAGCTGGAAGAAACATCAAAACCATCTGTCACCATATTCACAATAATAATTTTAATAATTCCTTTGATATAGCGCTTTTCTGGACACTCAAATCGCTTACGAAGTATAATCAATTTTTATTATTTAGAAACTGCAAAGACAGATAAATGCATGAAACCTGACAAGTATTTTCCTACAACTCTAACACATCCACTTCATAACTATTCTTATTAATCTTACAAGACAACAAGTCAATAAATAGGCCAGTAATAAAGCTGTCATGTGAGGACGTTGGACATCGGAGTTGAGGATCCACGTGCAGTACTTTATTCAGCAGAGAGTGTTCAGACAGGCAATGGTCAACACAGGAGCAAAGTCGTAGTCTATACAAGCAAATAGTCAGAATAGGTGGCAGAGAATCAAGACATGGAAAACAAGGCAAGGATTGTTAAGCGGAAAGACTAGATTGAAAACAGTGAACAAGCCCGATGTGTGTGTGAGCTGTATCAATGGGGAATATGCCGAAGCATGCTAATAGGACTTTTAATTTGCCAGTAACCTGGATTAAGCGCTTCCGGCGAATTGAATGCCAATGCAAAATCCGGTGCGTTTAAAGTCTGTTTTCTTTAAAAATCAGCGATCTCCACTAGCTGAGTGATATCCGATTTAAAGTGGGTCTCAGATTGTACAAGAAGCACTGCATTAAATTACATTTCCCCCGCCATGTCTTTATAATATGAGCATTTATTTTACCCCAGTATATTCAATGGAGCTTCTGCGTTAGCCTGCCGATTCTGACGGGCGCGTGCGAGTAAACAGCTTTTTGTCTCGTTTTACGCTTGAGCAACCAAATAAATGCTAAAGTTTATTTACCTGAAAGTATTTTAATGACATTACAACATCGATGCTGTATAAGGAACCGTATAAAATGGAAAAAAGTTCACAATAACAGCTCACCGGAAGTGTATCAGCATGGGAACAGCACTAGATCGGCATATACCCTATTCACCTTATTCTCAGCTGTCGAGTGGGCGCTGCCATTTGAATCTTTTTGTCTCGCGACTTCCGGTCACATTCACTTCCATTCATTTTTTGACGTTAACAACTGCTCGTTACGCTGCTTGATGTTGCAATTTAATATTTTAAATAAAATTAATATAATTTTTATTATATTATGCTACTTGGTCTGTATAGTCATGCAAACATTTGTTTGTTGAGCAAGTAGTTTGGCCATTTTCTGCCGATTATTATTTCTAGTCATTTCTCCCATAGGCGACTGAATAGGAAGTTCTAAGACAACCGCGAAAACAGGCGCACTTCCGCATTTTAGAATAAGGTCAATAGTCCTAGAATTAAACCGTGATGAGCTTCCATCTGTGTGTGTGCAATCAGCGGGTGAACTGCAACTGGTGTGTGTGAACAGGTACGATGGGACTTGTAGCTCTTTTGGTTGCAGATTTGTAGTTCTCCAGTGATCTAAATGGACTTGGTCACTGGTGATTGTGACAAAAGCACTGCTAGTATTAAAGATATGGATTTTTTAAGTACCTATATTACATGGCTTAATGCTATTGTAATGTTATTTGTTTCTGTTTAGTTTAATATTTTTTAGTCATATTGTTAATATTATTGATTTAGTTTGAATTTTAATTTAAAAAATGACAAATTATTATTGTTATATAATTATTATTG